TCCACGTGGCTTCCCCTTCCCCTGGACGCCATCCCCCAGTCCGCGGCCCGCCCCGTGCGTCACCATCGGAGCTGAGCGCCATGCGCACGTAGACCAGGTGCATGGGGGCCTGACACACGGTGCGGCCCTGGATGGAGAAGTGGTACACGCCGCGCACGTGGTTCAGCACCAGGCGGCGCCGCGGCAGCGACGAGATCATGAGCCACAGGCCCACGCCCACGCCGTAGGCAGGGAAGCCCCAAGTCTTCTGCTTCTGCACCTGTGGGCGCCGCGGGGACTTTCTGAGCCGCCGCGGGACCCGGGGGCGGGGCACCGAGTGGGGGTCCGGCCCCCAGGGTAGGAAGGCCGTGGGGGGCGGGCCCAGGAGCTCAGACCTCGCTCACAAGCCCGAAGCTGACGAGGAAGAAGCAGACGATGAAGAGCAGCGTCCCCTTCCACAGCGTGTCCAGGTAGTACTCGAGCACGAAGACTGGGGGCGGCGCGGCAGAGGCGCGTGAGGATACCGGGACCCTGCTCGCAGCCCGAGGTGCAAGTGCCAGGGCTTGGACCCGGAACTGCCCGCCGGCCGCAGGGCCCGGGGCCGCTGTCGGGGTCCAGCCTGCAGTCCCAGCGCCCGCGAAGGCCGCAGCCGGCCCGGCCCCGCCCCGTTCAGATTCCAGTCCCCGCCCCGCGTCGCCGCTCCGCCGGGTTCTGGTCCCCTGGCAACTGAGTGTCGCCCTCACCGTTGGGCTGCTGCTGCGTGAACGGGTAGAAACTGTTGTTCTTGAGGCGCTTGGCCAGGTTGCGCTCGGTGCAGAAGAGTCCTTGGGTCCAGAGCTGAAAGGGCTTGCTGCCGGCGGTCGTAGGCAGGCCGCTGAACCGGCCCTTGGGGGCCTGGGTCGGGGTACAGACCGTCAGCTGTGCGGCTTGTCTGTTGCCACTGCCCACTGCTCACAGCCACACTCATACCTGGGAGAATAAAGCCTTCAGCGTTGCGGTCCAGGAAAAAGCAGTTCTCAGGCGAAGGCAGGGGAGCGACACCGAGTGGCGGTCTAGGCTGGGCGACGCCGGCTTCTAGAAGCTCTGGGCTGCGCCGGCTTCTAGAAGCTCTGGGCGGCGGTTCTATTAGGGCCGTCCTGTTGATCTTCCCGTCTCCAGGGAGTCGCCCGGCCCGGCCCTGCGGTGGGCGTGCACTTCCCCCGCTAGGCCCCACCCCACCCGAGGCCCCCTGTACAGCCTGGTTCACAGTCCTCACCTGAAGGGTGGGGTAGTGGGACATCCCAGGCCTGAGCTGGAGAGGAATCTGTAGGCAGGGGCCCCACCACGAGCCCCGTGGCTGAGCATGGCCTCCCCTTCCCCACTGCCGCCTCTGCCCGGGTCAGAACCTCATATACAAACACAGACAGCTCACCTTAGTGTCCCTGAGGGTGGAAAGCACAGACACGCACGCACACACACACTCAGTCCAAGATTTGAGCCCAGGAGCCTCATATACAAACACAGACAGCTCACCTTAGTGTCCCTGAGGGTGGAAAGCACACACACACACACACACACTCACTCACACTCAGTCCAAGATTTGAGCCCAGGATTGAGCAGGCAAGGCCCGGCCACAGGCTGACTCAGGAGCCCTGGGGGGCTGCCCCCAACGCCGCAACACACAGGTTCTGGGCCAGCTGTAGCCCCCAGTAGTTCCCTCAGGGACAACCCCTAGCCTCTCACTGGGATCCCAAAGACCACACATGAGTTCCTAAAAATGTTTTATTGTAACAAAACGCTCACATATTCAAAACTGGGAAAGGGGGCAGGGCAGGGCTGGCTGGCTGGAGCTGCCTAGCTGGGAGGGGCCAGGCTGGTGAGCAGCTGCCGCAGGCACCACTGGACTTCCTCTGCGCCCCGGTAGGCCCGCTTCAGGCCCCGGGGAAGGCAGCGGCAGGACTCCAGGTTGAGGTACAGCAGACCCGGGCAGTTGCTGATCACAGCGCTGTGGGAGCAGTGCAGGCCATGGGAGGTTGAGCCACTGGCCCCAAGAAGACCCAGGCACAGCATGGCTGAGCCAGTCTAAGGAGCCCTCTCTACCCTTGCACCGCGGCTGGCTCTGCCACCTACAGCCCAAAGGCCCAAGCCCAGTACCCTTGGTGTCCCTAAGGCCAACCCCAAGCAGGGGCTGGGCCAGGATCGGCTCCCTTTTCAGAGCCCTGGAGCTGGCGAGCCAGGCAGGACAGGGGATCAAGCCATACTGGCTCCAAGGAACTGGCGGGGGTGGGGATGCTGACCTGACTGTGCTTGCTGTGACCCGGGTGCCCCGGAGGTTGAGGGAGCACAGTGCCAGGTGCGAGCCCCCGGGGACGCCTGAGAAGGCAGCTAAGGCCTGCTCCAGGTCCCTCTCACTGAAGCCCTGGCCACTCAAGTCCAGCTCCTGCAGAGTGTGACACCACTTCTGAGTTAACAGAAGGCTGCCCTCCTTGGCTAGAGTCAGCCGGTCTGACATGCCATACAGGCCCAGGTGAAGTTGCTCCAGCTCTGGAGGTGAGAGGAATGGGCATGAGCTGCGGGGTGGGCAAGAATCCCCACATCCCACCTGCCCAGCCACCACCCGGGGAGTGCTGACCCTGACATGGAAGGTCATGCAGGCCAGCAGGTGTGATTCGAGCACAGCCGCGGAGATCCAGCAAGCGCAGGTGAGGGGAGCCGTGGAGCAGGCGGTCCAGGACCTCGTTGCTCACAAAGTTGCAGGTGGAGCTGGCAAGGCAGAGCTCCTCAAGGCTGGGGAAGCCTGGGCCAGGAGGCGTCGCTCGCCCGGAAGGCTTGGGAAGCCACATGAGGTTCAGCAGCCGCAACACCTGGGAGCGAGGCCCAGGCTGCAGGTGGGGAGGGGGCGACAGGTGGAAGGGGTGGGGCGGCAGGTACCTGCAGCTGGGGGCAGCCTTTCTGCAGGGCCTCGACAGGCAGCTGGAGGGGAGTGCTGTTGTGGTTGAGGCCTGTGCTCACCTCCAGGAGCTGGAGTTGTGGGCAGCAGCTGCCCTGTAGAGGTGGGGGAGAACACAGGGTCGGAGGCCTGGCAGTCCCTGGCTCAGCACCCAGCTCTGCTCCTACCCGTGACCAACATACCAACAGTGCACCCAAGATAGCTGTCGTCTGGGAGCTGTAGGTCAGCCACAGCTTCCGCATTCGGGGCCCCGCCTCCTCCAAGAAGCTTACCACAGCCGTGGACTCCACCTGGAGACCCAGCACAGAGGTACCGGTCAACGCAGCCCAGGCTTCCTTGGGGCCCCTGGGGACTCCTGGGCTCACCATGGAATGCTGTATGTCCAGGCTGTGGAGCTGGGGGCAGGCTTTGGCTAGCATGATCAGAGTGTCAGGGGTCACACCGTGGCAATCGGAAAGCTTGAGGAAGGTGAGCCGGGGACAGGACTCGCTAACCAGCTGTGGAAAACAGAGGGCCGGTTGGGGGAGGGCAGGCTGTGGTCCACAAGGGAAACGGACCAATGGCTGACGCCAACCGCACTTTACTGCCTCAGCAATGGTCTCCTTTCTGGCCATGCCAGGCCTACCTGGGTGCTCCCACCTCTCACACCTCCCTGCTGGAAGACACTCCAGGAAAGGAGAACCAAGCAGGCATCTTCGTGGGGCATCGTTGGGCCCCACGGTACCTGACCCACTCCCTGGTGGGTAACCCCAGAGTGTCATGGCTGGCGTGCAGGGCAGCCTCGAGCTCTCACCTTCAACACAGGGTGTACCTGAGACTTCCAGTGGATGAGAGTCAGCCTCTGGAGCTGTGAGAACCTGGGCCGACAGCAGAGGCAGAGCTGCACAGTGTTCCCATGCTGCCCCTTCTGCCAGCCTTCTCCCCACCCATCACCTTCGTGCAGGGAGGCAGGAGGGGGCCTGGGGCATTCACACAACACACAAGCGGAATGAGGGGATAAGAAAAAGATGGAACTGCTCACCGACTGGGCATAAGCCACTCCAGGGATGTAAGAAGCTTCTTCTCAGTCTTGGTCCCACTCTTGGCAGGGCGGCCAACCAGCGGGGGTGACAGGGTGAGGGTGTGCCAGAGCGCTGGCTGGGAGGCGGCCTCGTGCCAGCGGCGGCACACGCGTGCAGCCCTGGGAGAAAATCTCTCCTGAGGGGCCGGGCCTTTTGTGGTCGATGCTCGCCCTCAATGGCTGTCGCTATGGGGTTTTCTAAGAGGAGGGACCTGCCCCCCGCCAACTCTCACAACGCTGCGGACCCCTCAGTTCAAGGTCGTGCCCCTGGGATTCCAGCTGGACGCCCTGAGAGACTGCGCTCTCTGAGACGCGTGTGTGGGCGCTCAGCCACCCGCTGAGTGCCTAAGAGGTCAGCCTGAGACCCGGCGCTGTGCGCGATGGTCCTGGGGTACCTGCCAAGGAAGGGTATAGGCCCATCCGCCGCCACCAGCAGCCCGAAAATCTGCAGCAGGATTTCCAAGGGAATGCGGTCGCCCCAGCCCGGGTCGGGCTCCTGCTGCGGTGCGGGCGCGGGTGCGGGTGCGGTCCTGGGCTTGGCCTTGGCCTCAGCGGCGCGGGCCCCGTGGAGCCGCAGCAGCTGAGCACGGCGGGCGGCGCGCCTCTGAGCACGGCGGCGGGCGGGCCCCGGACCTGGCAACACCAGCAGCATGCTGTCCGACTGCAGCAGGTGGTAACCGGAGCCGCTTGGGGCCAGCCGATCCCACCACCAGTCCTCCGCCGAGCGGCTCCGCGCCCCGGCCAGCGGCAAGATCCGGACCCTTTGCCGGGCCCGCCGGGCCACACCCGGAGCCATAGCCACTCGCTGCGTTCCGAGTTCCGCCCAGGGGGAGCGGAAGAGGCGGAGCCTGCGGCGGAAGGGGTGTGGCCGGCGGAGGCGAGGCTCGCCTCGCGGGGCGGGGTCAGGGCCGCGGGCTGGCCTTACCCGCCCTTGCCCCTGGACTCCCCACTCGATTTCCGGAGCGGGATATCGGGCGCTGGGGCGCGCCGGCGGGTGGTTTCTGCGAGTCCCGGCGGGTGAGTTGGAGTCCTCGCTCCCGCTCGGCTGCATTTTCCGGCCCCACCCGTTCTGTGCTGGGTCCTCGACCCTGGGCCGGAGGCGGCGCCCTCGAAGTGTGGCGGGACGGCCGGTCGCCGGGTCAGGGAGCGCGCTCGTTCAGGACCGGGAGGCTCAAGCACCCCAGCGCACCGGTCGGCTCTCCGCCGCCCCCGTGGTGCAGCGAGGGGCGGTGCCCGCCGTGGCCACATCCCCAGCCCCGACTTGGCTCCGGCTGTCCGGGGTCTCGCAGAAGCCGTAGAGGTGTGCTTGGCGCCTGAGAGGTAGACCTGTCCCGGAGTCCTTGTCCCGTATCCGTGCGGGGTAGTGCTTTGGCGGTCTCGGTAGCTCACACCCGAAGATCATCTCCCTCTTTCATCATACTCTCCTGGGCTTCGGCGCCTTCTTGCTTCCCTGCCTGGCGCCGGCCTTTGCTGTGTCGTGACCCCGACACAGGCTGCCGGTGTGCTTTGTCCCTTCTCCTCCCCATCGCCCACCCCCGGCATCCCCCCAGTTTCCCTGGTCTTGGCCGTCTGGTCCTTTCTTGACAACGTTTCTGTGTCTTTCCCTTGTGATTTTGCATGCATGTTACTTTTTTTTCAAGCTAGACGAAGTCTTCAGTTCCCGGAGGAGCCGAAGGTCTTTTGTGGACCTACGTGGGGAAAGAAGAGCTGGCTGTGACCTCTGCCCTGTCCTGAAGGCTCCGGCCTTGGGCTAAATGGCAGCACCCCCGCTGGGCCGTCTGGTGCTGACCCACGTGCTGGTAGCCCTCTTTGGCATGGGCTCATGGGCTGCCATCAACGGGATCTGGGTGGAGCTGCCTGTGGTGGTGAAAGACCTCCCCGAGGGTGAGTTCATGTGGGCAGGGGGCGAGGCTGCGTGCAGGGGAGGTGGGTTGCAGCTGCTCTCTGGACCTGCGCATCCTGCCCCTGACACGGCTTCCTCCTTTTTTTCCTTGCAGGTTGGAGTCTCCCCTCCTACCTCTCTGTGCTTGTGGCACTGGGGAACCTGGGTCTACTGGTGGTGACCCTGTGGAGGCGGCTGGCCCCGGGCAAGGGCGAGAGGGCCCCCATCCAAGTGGTGCAGGCGCTGAGTGTGGTGGGCACAGCCCTGCTGGCCCCCCTGTGGCCCCACGTGGCAGCAGTGGCGGGGCAGGAGTACTCAGTGGCCTTCCTGACTCTCTCCTTCGTGCTGGCGCTGGCCTGTTGTGCTTCGAATGTCACGTTCCTGCCCTTCCTGAGCCGCTTGCCGCCTTCCTTCCTGCGGTCCTTCTTCCTGGGTCAGGGCCTCAGCGCCCTGCTGCCCTGTGTGCTGGCCCTAGTGCAGGGTGTGGGTCGCCTCGAGTGCCCACCAACCCCCACCAATGGCACTCCTGGGCCCCCCATTGACTTCCCAGAGCGTTTTCCTGCCAGCACTTTTTTTGGGGTATTGTCCGCTCTATTAGTCGTTTCAGCTGCCGCTTTTCAGGGTCTCCTGGTGCTGTTGCCATCACCACCGCCTGTACCCACAGGAGGCCCAGGGCCTGGCCTGCAGGCGGGAGCCCCTGGAGTGGAGGAAGAGGAAGAGGCCTCACCCCTGCAGGAGTCTCCCAGCAAGGCGGCAGGCACCACCTGCAGCCCAGAACCTGCGGCCCATCGGCTGCTCTCCACCCGTAGTGTCTGCCTGCTGGGCCTGCTGGCCGTCACCAATGCTCTGACCAATGGCGTGTTGCCTGCTGTGCAGAGCTATTCCTGCTTGCCCTATGGGCGCCCAGCCTACCACTTGGCTGTGGTGCTGGGCAGTGCCGCCAACCCCCTCGCCTGCTTCCTGGCCATGGGTATTCTATGCAGGTATATGGGCAGCCCAGGCCACTCAGGGTGGGACTTAGGGGTGAGAGCCTGGGCCTGGCTCAGAGCCTGGGCCTGAGCCCTGAGTTTTTGCTCACTCCTGGCAGGTCCCTGGCAGGGCTGGGCAGTCTCTCCCTGCTGGGCATGCTCTTTGGGGCCTACCTGATGGCGCTGGCAATCCTGAGCCCCTGCCCACCTCTGGTGGGCACCTCTGCAGGCGTGGTCCTTGTGGTAAGTATGTTGGGGCACAGTGAAGCAAAGAGGGTGGCAGTAGGGAGGGGGTTCACCCTAGAGCAGGGGCATCTCACGCTCAGCCTGCTACTGTGTCCACCTTCCCAGGTGGTGTCGTGGGTTCTGTGTCTCGGCGTGTTCTCATACGTGAAGGTGGCTTCCAGCTCCCTGCTGCATGGGGGGGGCCAGCAGTCGTTGCTGGCAGCTGGCGTGGCCATCCAGGTGGGCTCTCTGCTCGGCGCCGTGGCCATGTTCCCTCCCACCAGCATCTACCATGTGTTCCGCAGCGGGAAGGACTGTGTGGACCCTTGTGGCCCCTGAGCCTGAGCAGGTGGGGACTCCGCTCCACTCCACTTGTCTTCAGGTTGGGGTTGCCACAGTGCCTGCGTGCCCCCAGCCCAGGGAGGCCCACCCTACAAGCAGCCTGCTCACGGATGCCTGCGTACTCCACGGGAGAACCTGGCACTGCAGGCCAGGGTTGGGACCACAGAGCAGGCTTGGAGCCAGGGCCCAGCTGGGGATGTGGATTTGGCCCAGGCCCAGGACGTGTGTGGGATTTGTACAATAAAGTGTGTTCATTTCATCAGTTGGAGCTAACCCTAGGAACAACTCTTGCTGTGTAGATAGACCTCCCCTGAGCTAGAGCAGTAGCCTGACCTGTTCAACAGGGGCCTGTCCCACTCCCTGGGGCACTCATAGGTCCTGGAGGTCATAGAACCTCCTCCTAAACACAGATACACATAGAGAACTGCCCAGAGGGAGGGTGAAGGCCAGCCCCCAGGGCCTGGAGTGTAGGCCAAGGACCCACACAGGCTACGGCAGTCAGAGGCTGTCTGGTGGGCCGAGCCAGCCAGGCACGAGGGTCAGGCCGCATGGGCTGCCTCATAGTCGCTGCCTTCGTGGCCTGGGTGTGGCCCACTTACCCGCTGCTTTATGGGAGGATCCTACTGGGGGATTTGTGCCCGGGGCTTGTTGCCAGGTCCTGGCACAGAAAGAGCTCAGCGAGTGGGACTTAGAAGAGACCAAGGTGTGAGGGTCCAGCCGATCTTGGGATTCTTCTGCCCAAGGACGTGGTCCCCTCCCCCAAACCACCAGCCTCGTTTGTAGCTCCTGTGATCAAACCTGCAAAGGCCCCAAACCCTTTATTCACACAGACGCGACAGTGGCTGCCTTCTCCCTGGGCTGCTGGCAGATGGCCCTGGCTCTGAGCAGCCCACGCTCTGTCCCCACCCTGGGACAGCAGTCCAGGCCTTTGCTTGTTGGTGTCTGCAGGGAGCTCAGCACCAAACACAGGCTGTCCTGCACCGGGGGCTCCCACACACAGGACTGGTGGGGACTGGAGTGCGCCCTGAGCCAGGAGGGCCGGGACGATCTGAGGGGATTCACGCGGGGCTGCCGCAGGGCCGGGGCCTGGGCTTCTGCCGCCTCCTGGGCAGGTGGGGAGCAGAGGCCTGGGGGGGGGAACACAGGCTCCCCGGGGGGCAGGACACCTGAGCCGCGAGCCAGCGTGACTGGCGTGGTACTGAGCACCCATTCTCACAGACAAGGGGCCCTGCAGCTGCCAGGGGCCGGGCGTGGGCTCCGGGGGAGCGGCTCCTGCCCTGCTGGCCAGCCCTCTCCGGATGCCGTTTCTAAGCTGCTGAAGCCGCCTGTCCTTGACTTGGGCTGCGCGGAGGCTTCTCAGGGGCTTCCTCCCCGGCCTTGGCAAGACCGGCTGAGCTGAGGGACTTCCTGGTGGGAGGGAAAGATCCCCAGGCCTTGACCCCCCCCCATCAGGCATGTGGTAGGACCAGGCTCCCAGCTGGCCCAGACACAGCCCAGCCCTTAGGGCAGAAGGCCACCGCCCTCCAGGGCGCTAACCACCCAGCCCCCTGACCTGATAGGGCTGGGGAGGGGGGCGCCGGCAGGCGGGCGTGAGCTGTGGAAGCCACCTCTGGAGAGTGGGAGGGAGGAGGCCGAGGGTGTGACGGGGGTGGTGTGGCCCCGGGCCTCCGCGTGCCCTCCCCTGGCCTCTGACGCTGCCCCTCCCCCCTCCCCGGCCCACCCTGGGGCCGGAGGCTGGTGGAGCCTTCCCCCAGTTCCTTCCTGCCTTCCCTCACGTTGGGCATGTGTGCAGCCTCCCCGCCGGCGTGTGTGTCTGCGCCACGTGTGCCAGGCGTGAGGGCCCCGGGAAGCAAGGCACGGTCTCCCGAGGGGGGCTGGCCTTGAGCCCCGGAGGCCAGGACTGCAGGGGTGGCTTGAAGGAGCCCCTGCCCTTTGGCGTCTCCAGGGCGTCCGGTCAGCTACCCGAAGGGAACAAGGCAGGAGCCCAAACAACCAGGGGAGGAAGACGCCTGGGGTCAAGTCCTAGAGGGCCGCGCGGCACGCCCTTCCCGCTCACGGCATCCGGGCACGAGGCCAGTGGCTGGGAAGCAGGGCGGCCAGCCACACCAGCCGCTCAGACCTGAGCGTCCCCCCAGGGCCCTATCCGGGCACCCACGCCTCCAGCTGGACAGCAGGTGGCCAGCCACTCAAGCTCACAGCCCTGCCCAAAGGGTCTCTCAGGCCCGGGGCGGTGAGGAACTAGAAGGAGACCCCAGAAGGGAGGTGGTGTCCCCTGTGTGAGAACAGAGCTGAGCCACGGGCCCTCTGCGGTCTGTGGCTCAGGTTCTCTCGAAACCAGAGAAGAGCCAGCCAGGGTGTGCCCTGCCACACGCAGCAGCCCCTCCGCAGGTGTGCAACCACTCCCCCAAGACAGGGACGAGGCTCACCCAGCTCTGGTTGAGCAAGTAGAGGTGGGGCCTTCACCTTCCTTCAGTACCGGCTTCGTCAGCCCACCGGGGTCCCTAGGCAGGTGTGGGTTCCGACGCGGGCATGAGTGTGACAACACCTGGGTGAGGGGATGGTCACGCCCCTCATCTGCGCCTGTTCAGAGCCCCACTGCCTGACTCGGGGACAAGGGGTGAGTCCTTTCAGGGGCTCCCTCCCCTCCATGGATTCAAAGGGACCTCCTCGCTTCTGTGGGGAATGGGGCCAGAGGATGGGAGTGTGGGAGTGACTGGGCCTCTGGTGAGGGAGCGGGTGCAGTTATCAGCAACTCCAGAGTCGGCCACTCGGACCGGGCCCACACTGGCCTGGGGTGCTGCCCACCTCAGTGGGGCCACATGCTCTCCACTGCACCTTCCAGGGGCTGTCAGTCACAGGCCCCTGCCTTCCCCCCTTTGGCTGGGTGGGTGCCCAGCTAATCCAGCTGTGGTGCCCACCCTCCTGCCCATGGTGATTGAACTGGGAGCCCTGGGCCTGGGGAGCAAGTCGGGCGCTAACAGAGATTTGCCTCGGGGTGTCAGTCATCCCAAGAGCTATAAAAAACACCCAGACTACTCAGGGTGCACACCAGAGAGTGAAGGCGTCCCAGGGCAAGCAGAGCGAAGGGTGGAGAGAGGCAGAATTCCGAGAGCATTCTGGGATCTCCTGGATCCAGCTGTACCCGAAACTAAGCCCCTTGGACTTGCAAGTTATGTGGGCCCACAATTTCTTGCTTAAGTTGAGTTGGTTCTTGTCTGTCACAGCTGCAGGAGTTGTGAAATCCTCTTTCGTCTCCTCTCTGAAGCATTTAGGACTGTTCAGACTTTGCACGCACAGCACTGGTTAATCTTTCCTTGCCTGGGGGAGAGTCGGTCATTCTCTTGGAGACGCTCCCTGTTGTACTCCCCATGACCCTTCCATCTCCCAGGCCGCCACTCCAGCTCCTGACCAGGGTGCTTCCCTGACCCACTTCCAACCTGCGTAGAAGAGTCTCCTGGACGTCCGACCCTCTGAGAACACCTCAAGCCAGGCCCGTGGGGGAGAAGGCAGGACCTTCCTCGGCAGGATCCCCCGGGAGGAGGTTTCTGTCTGCGTAACTGTATGAGCTAAATGAAAGGCAAGTGGCAAAGCAGCCTGGAAATTCCCCTCGTTTTGCAAGAGAGGCAGGAAAGCCGAGCTCTTTAGAACGCAGATTGCAAAAGATTCCCTACCTGATCCCTCGTTGATACCCCGAGCCAGCCCTTGATATTCCCTTTGCAAAACATTCTGTGGACAACACCCTCTGAGAGTGCTGAGCGGGTACATGTTGTGGCCGGGGAGACCAGGGCGCCAATCCTCTAAAGGCAAGTCGTGGGGAAGGCAGCTCCCCAGCGCCCCGCCCCCCGCTGCAGGTGTCCATGCTGCCCATGCCCCCCCTACCCCACCCCCACGCTGACTTAAGCCAGAGGGATGCGAAGAGTTGCTGAGGCCAGGGTGCTCGGGCTCCAGGGCCAGTTAGCACGTGGGCTTGAACATCCAGAGAGGAAAAGCAGGCAGATCCACAAACGAAGGTGTCGGCTCTCTATTGCACTGCAGGTCCTGGCAAGGGTAGTTAGGCAGGAAAAAGAAAGAAAAGGCATCCAGATTGGAAAAGAGGTAAAACTATCTCTATTCTCAGATGATGTGATTTTTTTAAACTGATTTTCTTTTTTTTTTTTTAATATTTATTTATTTATTTGGCTGCGCCGGGTCTTAGTTGTGGCACGTGAACTCTTAGTTGCGGCACGTGGTATCTAGTTCCCTGACCAGGGATCGAACCTGGGCCCCCTGCATTGGGAGGGCAGAGTCTTAGGCACTGAACCACAGGGGAAGTCCCTCAGATGACACAATTCTATGTTTAGAAACTCATAAGGAGGGACTTCCCCAGTGGCGCAGTGGTTAAGACTCTGCACTCCCAGTGCAGGGGACCCAGGTTCGATCCCTGGTCAAGGAAAGAGATCCCACATGCACGCCACAACTAAGAGTTTGTATGCCACAACTAAGGAGCTCACGTGCCACAACTAAGGAGCCTGATTGCCTCAACTAAGACCCAGCACAACCAAATAAATAAATAAATATTTTTAAAAAGGAAAGAAAGAAACTCATAAGGAATCCACAAAAAAACTATTAGGACTAAGAAAACAAATTCAACCAAATTTTGCAGATTACAGCATAGATATACCAAAATCAGTTGTATCTTTATATACTAGAAGCAAAAAATCTGAAAATGAAATTAAGAAAAACTTTTCATTTACAATAGCATCAAAAGAATAAAATACTTAGAAATAAGTTTAACAAAAGAAAAGCAAGCCTTTTACATGAAAACTACAAAACCGTTGAAAAAAATTAAAGATGCGAGTAAATATTCATGGATCAGAAGACTTCGGGTGTTTATGCAGCAGAACTCTGCACACTGATCCAGAGATTCAAGTGATGCCTATCAAATTCCAGCTGGCCTTTTGCAAAAACCTAACAAACAGATCCTAATGTTCATAACAAGATGCAGGAGACCCAGAGTAGCCAAAACAATCCTTTGTTTTTTTGATCACACTGTTTGTGGGATCTTAGTTCCCCAACGAGGGATTGAACCCGGGCCCTGGGCAGTGAAAGCGCTGAGTCCTAACCACTGGACCGCCAGTTCCCCAAAGCAATCTTTAAAAAGAATAAAATTGGCTACAAAGCTACAGTAATCAAGACAGACACATAGATCAGTGGAACAGAATAGGGAGCCCAGAAATAAACCCACACACTTATGGTCAATTAATCTACAACAAAAGAGGTGAGAATATACAAAGGGGAAAAGACAACCTCTTCAATACATGGTGTTGGGAAAACTGGACAGCTACATGCATAAGAAACTGGACTACTTCCTCACACCATATATATACTTCCTCACACCTCATATATACTTCCTCATACCTCACACACAAAAATAAACTAAAATGGATTAAAGACTTACATGTAAGACCTGAAGCCATAAATCTCCTAGTAGACATTGGCTGTACACTCTTTGTCATCAGTCTTAGCCTTTTTTTTTTTTTTTTTTTTGGCTATGTCTCCTCAGGCCAGAGAAACAAAAGCAAAAATAAATAAATGGGACTACATCAACCTAAAAAGTTGTTGCACTTTTACTTGATAGTAAAAGAAACTATCAACAAAATGAAAAAGCAGCCTATTGAATGGAAGAAGATATGTGCAAAGGTTATATCCAACAAGGGATTAATATCCAAAATATTCAGAGAACTCATGATGCAACCTCAGGAAAACAAACAACCCAGTTAAAAAAGTGGGTAGAAGACCTAAATAGACATTTTTCTAAAGAAGACATACATTCAGCCAGCAGGTGCATGAAAAGATGCTCAACATCATTAATTATAAGAGAAATGCAAATCAAAACCACAATGAGGTATCACCTCACACCTGTCAGAATGGCCATCACCAAAAAGCAACAAATAACAAGTGTTGGCGAGGATGTGGAGAAAAGCAAATCCTCGTGCACTGTTGCTGGGAGTGTCGATTGGTGCAGCCACTATGGGAAACAGTGTGGAGGTTCCTCAAAAAATTAAAACAGAGCCACCATATGATCCAGCAATTTCACTTCTGAGTATTTGTCTGAAGAAAACAACACTAAATAGAAAAGATATATGCACCCCTATGTTTATTGCAGCATTATTTACAATAGCCAAGATATGGAAACAACCTATCGGCAGATGAGTGGATAAAGAAGATGTGCTACATATATACAATGGAGTATTACTCAGCCATAGAAAAGTATGAAATCTTGCCGTTTGTGACAACATGGATGGATTTTTTTTTTTTTTTTTTTGGCTGTGTTGGGTCTTCGTTGCTGCGTGCGGGCTTTCTC